ATGAATTGCGATACACCCAGAGGGGTTGGGGGAAAACCAGGATCAAGAGTGACAATGAATTATATGAAGTGAGGGGAGCCGAAAGTCAACTCATAAAATATTTCTCTGGTCTTTAACAGAAAGGGAGGGGGGAGCAGTGCGGCAGCTTACAAAACCGAAACTACATTCCATAAATGTTTTCAAAGATAAGTAACTAGGTGACCAAAGTTTCTGCCTTGCAAAATTCTAACTGGAGAGCCTGATTGATGACTCTGGGCTATGGAGGTGTCCCATTGGAGAATATGAATTGCGATACACCCAGGGGGTGCAGTGCCGGTGTGTTTACTCCCAATAAATCTTCTTTAAGTTTGGAAGGTTGGCTCGAGACTCATGGTTTAAGTGGGGGCAGGGATGGGATGCTACCGATTCTGCCTGGCTCTATAGAACCGGTAGCTTTGAAAAGCAGCAGACACCGAACTGGTTCTGTGTTTGCTGCTGTTTGGCCCACCTGCCTGCCAGGGCTCTTACCTGTCCTTCATTTCCTGCTTTTTCAACCTCAGCTGCTTTGCACGGCACGGATGAGGTTGAAAAAGCAGGAAAAAAGAGCTTTTTCAAACGCTGCGCACCTGCGCGCAGTGCTTTTCAGCTGTCTGGGCAGCACAGCTTAAGGCTTTTCACACACACGCGCAGCAAAACATAGTCACCAAAGCGGTAGTAACACCGATTGAATCCCACCCCTGAGTGGGGGTAACTGACACCTGGAAGGATGGACAGGTAACTGACAAGTAACTGACACCTGGAAGGATGGACAGGTAACTCCTCGACTTACAAGAGTTTGTGTAGTGACAATTCAAAGTTACGACGACATTGAAAAACATGACTTACAGTTGTTTTTCACTTATAACCATTGAATCATCCCCATAGTTCAGGTGATCAAAATTCAAGCGCTTGGCAACTGACTCATATTTATAACGAGTTGCCATGTCCTGGGGTCCTGTGATCCCCTTTTGTGACCTTATGATAAGCAAAATCAACGGGGAAGCTGGGCTGACTTAAAAACCGGATTGCTAACTAAATAACTGCTGCAGTTCACTTAACAACGGTGGCAAGAAATGTCGTAAAACAGGGCAAAGCTCACAACAAATGTCTCACTTAGCAACACAAATTTTGGGTTCAATTTGTGGTCTGAAATAGAGGATTACCTGTACAGGCATATTTTGATTTTTTTAAAAAAAAGAGATCTATAACTCAAGAGTAAAATTGTGGACTGGATCTTGGAGCCCCAAAGAAAGCGCAACGAAGTGAGGTTGAGAACGCCCGCACACTATTCTACACAAAACAACAATTGCTACATGCAAATATATACAGTAATGTTTTTGAGGGCGGAATGCAGGACTGCCTTTCAGGGATCCAAAGTGATACTAGCTCAGGATCCAAAAAGATCTCGACAGACTTGAGCAATGGGCCCTTATCCAACCATATGAAATTTAATGTGGTGAAGAGCAAGGTTTTGCACCTGAGCAGGAGAAACCAAAGAGACAAGTACAGATCAGGTGAAACCTGGCTCAAAAACAGTAACTGGGAGAGGGACCTTAGAGTCCAAGTGGACCAAAGGTGCGAATCGGCCATTTCTGACCGGTTCTGAAGAACCAGTAGCGGAATTTTTGAGTTGTTTGGAGAACCGGCCAATCCCACCTCTGACTGGCCCTGCCAACCCCATCTTAGTCCCTGCCTCCCACTGAGTCCCAGTTGATTGGCTGGGTCTCCTTTGGTTGCCCTGCCCAGGAGAACGGAGCTGGAAAGCAGGTTAGTGGAGTGGGGAGGGAAGGGGGATTTTGCAGTATCCTTCCCCTGCCACGCCCACTGAGCCACGCCCACGGAACCGGTAGTAAAAAAAAATTGCATCCGACCACTGTAGCGGACGATCACTTAAACATGACTAGCAGCCAAAAATACTAATACAATCCTGGGGTGTATAAACAGAGGCATAGAATCAACATCAAGTACCACTTTATAAAGCCACACCTGGAATCCTGCATCCACTTTTGGTCACCATGTTACAAACAAGATGTTGAGACTTTGGAAAAAGTGCAAAGAGCAACTAAAAAGGTGAAAGGCCTGGAGACTAAAACGTAGGAAGAATGGTTGCAGGATTTGGGTTTGGCTGGTCTAGAGAAAAGGATTAAGGGAGATGTGGTAGCTTTATCGCAGTATTTGAGGGGATGCTTCAAAGAGGAGGGGGTCAAGTTATTTTCCAAAGCACCTGAAGGCAGGATAAGAAACAACAGGTGGAAACTGATGAAGGGGAGAAGCAACCTAGAACTAAGGAGAAACTCCCTGACAGGACAATTAACAATTGGAGCAGCTTGACTTCAGAAGATGTAGGTGCTCCATCACTGGAGGCTTTTAAGAGATTGGCCAAGTACTTGTCTGAAATGGTTCGTAAGGGTGAAGCTATGACATGCCCCAGGCAAACTTACCTCACTGTGTAAGCGTGCACATCCCGGCTGATTTTCAGCCTGTTTGAGGCCTTTTTCGACCTGCCAGAGGCTTGAGGAAAGCCTTTGCAGGCTGAAAAATAGGCCCGTTTTGTCACTTCCGGTATTTCTGAAAATATATGAAGTGACAAAACGGGCCTTTTTTTTCATCCTGCAAAGGCTGAGGAG